GGTGCCAGAAAATATGTTGGGGTTCCAAGTTTCCTGACAATTTCTCTAACAACTAGAAAATCATGCTTCCCCATGAATCAGTTATTCCTTTGTTAACTTTAGTAAACCATAATAAATAGATTTAATCCTAAATATATTTAACAAGAAGATAATCTAATTTGACTAGTTTTTGCTTTCTCAACAATAATGCTATGGCATATGAATAAGCTACTTAGCCAAGAGGCTTAATTTTTAGCTTTTATGTCATATATAATGATATAAAAATGGAAAATTAATATAGAACTTTGAGGATATTTTGGGCCAACATTAATAGTATTTAGTTACTTACTCTATACTATCATTAACTCATTAACTGGTAATTAAGTCTTTGAAAATGTTGCTCATTAGAGCCACAAACCCTGAACCATCCTGAATTTAATATTGACATTTCTGTTCATAAATTTAAGAAATGTAAATTAATTTAGCTTGGGTTTTTTGTTTTTTGTTTTTAAAGAGCAAACTTTGCCCACTAGTGATGCATGCATCGATATCATTATACAAGAGGATTCTATTCTATTGTGTGTAGATTTGTATACTGACTTCATCGCCATAGTATTTGTGTGCCTGCCAGTAGTGCTTTAAGCATCATAACTAATGTATGTCATGTGTTTGTTCTCTTATCCTCTTCCCAAAGAGAAACTTGTGTGCAGTGGAGTATTTTTTTTTTCATGTATCAGAGGGGTAGCCGTGTTAGTCTGAATCTGTGAAAAGTAACAGAGGGTCCTGTGGCACCTTTAAGACTAACAGAAGTAACTTGCATCTGAAGAAGTGAGGTTCTTACCCACGAAAGCTTATGCTCCCAATACTTCTGTTAGTCTTAAAGGTGCCACAGGACCCTCTGTTACTTTTTTTTTCATATATGCATAAAATATGTTGACTTTTCAGGCTAGATTCCCAATGGGATTTAAAGTACCGTTTGCAAAAACAGTGGTGGTGCTGCCCCCCTTATGCCCAATAGCCCAGTGCCCTAACCATTGGAGCTATGGAGTCATTCTCTCTATCCCAATAAATATGTAAGTATTTTGTATAAAGTGCGACAGTTTCAACAGGAGAGAGACCTTCCTCAGAATAGCCAATAGCCTGGTGCTTAGCGTATCTGGGGGAGTGGGGAGACAGAGGTTCAAGTCCCAGCTCCAGAGTGGCGATTGGAATCCCTTTCTCTCACATCACAGGTGAATGCCCTAATCACTGAACTACTGCATATCAAGGGTTTTGTGAATCTAGTCTTAATTTCTTTTGCTTTTATTAAAAATACTCCAAATTAAACATTTTGTTCAACCCTAAATTAAAGTTTTCAGACTTCTTCAATTCATTGAAAATGCTAAAACAATTGGCTTCTATTCAACCAGAGCCACATTCCCCCCCCTCCCCCAAACTATTAGCAGACCAAAAAATGAATTGGCACAGCTCTACTCAGTATGAGGAAGGGTTGCAGAATCCACCTGTAATTTAAACTATCTACATACAATGCATAGAAACCATTACACTCTAGTGCAACTCCTCACAGTTGGGTCTCAGAAGTATATTACAAGTTAGTAGCCATTTGTTAATTAGTGATCTTAAAAGTATTGTCTGAGTCTCTCTCCTTTGGTGTGCTATAATGTTATAAATAGTTGCAGCAACCTTGTCAGCATTTGCAGCCTCAGAAAAACAGTGGTATTGAATTTTTACTTCACATTTGCCTTTTACCGGTTATTCTGTCTCTTTACCCCAGAGTCTGCTAAACCAGTTAGTTTAAATAGAACTGAAATCAGAGAGCCATATATAGTTTAATAAAAGGGATGTTCAGCCTTGAGTAGAACATCTTTGCTTCTTAGTGAAATTGATCTCTCTAATGGAATAATGCCATTATCCTAGCTTGCAATAGTTACATCCATGGAGATATAGTCTGATAGTACAACCTTAAGCCTTTTTTAGTGTATTCTTGTTTGCAAAAATATTTACTGTTTCAAGAGGAAGTAATCGTTCTTTGTCTGAAACGTGTGTACACACAATATATTGTTTGAAATCTTTCCGTCAAAGCAGTAAAACTCTTTTATAATATTGATCTAGCATTGTTAAGTCATGCTGTAGTCAGATCAATAATACTGCAACTAATTGACTCTGCCAAAAACCATTAAAAATCAAATTGTCAGCCATTTGTGAGTTTCAAGAGAGCTCAGTTTGCTACTGTTTGTTTTGAAACTTTACTTATTTAAAAAGTATTAGATGTGTTTCTGTCTGGATTAAGTGCTTTTAAAAAAATGAAATTTGAAAGCAGTCACAAGTAAATATTTTAGGAATCCTTACTTAAGTACGTAGTTTTTACTTTAACAGACAGTTTTGGGGAAGGAGAGCAGCAAGAGTGGGAGGGGATAACTTTTCAATATGTTTACTGTAGATCCTTCTTGCAGACAGCTTCTCTTAAAGTATTCTATGGGAAGTGAGGTAATTATAGAGTAACATACCAGGGGCCTTGTATGGCAAGTAGAGACAGTATGGGAAAAAGGATAATGTTTGATCTTACCCATGAATTCTACTTTTAGCTGGATAAGAAACTGCAAGCTTAGTTTGCCATCATTTCTTCAGTTTTAAATGCTGATTATTTTACAAAAGCAAAACCAACATAACGTGTAACTAACAAGGTTATACCAGTTCTTTACAGATTCCTTCTATGTTAAATTTCTTTCCTCTATTCTTTATCAATTGTTTTTGAGAATATCTGAGTGATTCTCTTACTCAGCACAGTGAGGCTTTAATCCTGATGGATCATATATATATGCTTGCTAATATTTAATATTATTGCTACTATTGTTATAGTTATTACTACTATAATTACAGTAAAAGTTGGCAGCAGAAGCCTAAATGGGCCAAATTTTGGGCTGGCCTCAACCTGTAATCTAAAGTTATGCTTGTATTTTGTGTGCAGTTGGTACTTGCAAAGCCTGCATTTCACGTTTAACATGAATTTGCACTTGTGCATTCAAATTAGGGTGGCAGCTAATTATCAGGTTTTCACACTCAAACTTGCAGGTGTAATTATAAAGGTTAATTTTAAAACATGTGACTGATTGTGTTTTCATGAGGCCACTGTGGATCCATGGTATTTAAACCTCCAGTTCTTCTTCAAATGCTGGTTCCTATATGTATTCCTCATGTGGGTACACATATGCAGTGTGCACCTGAGTTCAGAGATTTTAACAAGCAGTGTCTTTTGGTCCACATATGCGCAGTTGGTCTCCTCATGCTTCTGAGCAAGAGTAGAAGAGGCAGTACAGGTTGACGCCCCCTCAGTTCCTTACTGCTGCATGGTCCAGAGTCAGAATTCAATGTCCTCTCTTTCTTCAGCTTTCAGAGATCCTGCAGATAAAATAGTATATAGTTATTCTTTTTAGCTTAGTAGAGCTACATTTTTAGTGTAGTTTGTGTACTTTGCTTCCCAGGACTGGGGACTACCTCCCTGCGGTCTGGGTCTATGCCCAAAGTTCCAGGCTTCAAAACTGCATCTCCTGCACTAGATCCTTCTCTGTCAATGACTAACACCAATGCTGTCTCTGCTGTCTGGGTGAGACACATATTTCTTCTGTGTCTGTCGATCATTTCCACCAATAAATTGCGAATCCTGTGAGCTTCACCTTAGGAAACCCTTAATGGAGAAGGCCCTGAGACCCCTCTGATCTGGGCCAGGGAGACCCTCCAGTACAACAGCCTCAATAAATGAGCACATGCCTAGGAGCAGAGCCTTCAGTTTCAAATTCCAAAGATTCTTCCTTCAGGGCTTCCCATAATAATAAAGGGCATTCTCATGGGCACAAGGAGAGATCCCTGTCAAGGACTGTCCATAAGAGATGCACTCCTCCCCTGAGCCCATCGAGATTGGGTGAGCCTTCTAAAGGAGGACAAGTTGGTGGCAAAAAGAGCTCTTCAGGTTGAAGTTGATGCAACAGATACAGCATCCAGAAGCTTGACCACTGGTGTTTTTATGAGGAGAGATTCTTGGTTGCAATCCTTAGGCTTTCCCAGGGAAGTGAAGAATACTATGCAGGCCCTTCCCTTTGATGAGTCAAACCTCTTTAATGAGAATATGAATGACTCTTCATTCATTAAAAGACTTGAGGTCTACCCTCCACTCCCTATCTATATTCCGCTACCTGCCCTCCGTCCCCTCTGCTTCTGGTCTGGTTGGATTCACTGTGAGACGAGAAACTGAGGGGACGTCAACCAGCACTACTTTTTATATCCTCACTCAGAAGCACAAGGAGACCTACTGCACATATGAGGACCAATGGACACCGCTCGTTAAAATGTCCGGACTCGGATGCATGCTCATGCATATCCACGTGTTGAATACAGATATGGACCACATATCTCAAAGAACTTCCAATATTAGTAAATAACTTCCATTTGTCATTGGTTGGTCTAATTCAGCTTTGTAATCATTGTATTTCTGTATTTTGAATTGCTGATTCTCTTTCATGAGTAGCATTTTTAATGTATATGAATAAATCAAATATGATTGCTCCTTTTGGAAGATAATTCACTGTTTGTAGATGCAGAGATACTCTGCAGAGACTAAAGGAATTCAGCCTCTGGCTTGAAACCTATGTTAGTTTTGGACTGGCTTTGTTTGCTACCTTTAAACTACAAGTTATTTGTATTTATAAGGAATGGTGGTATGAAAGGATCATAGGTTAGTGTTTAGAACACAGGACTAAAAGGCAGAAATTTGGGGTTTATTCTTAATTCTGCCACTGAGTTACTGTGTAATCTTAATTGCATTCTGTGCCTGTTTTGCACCTGTACAATGGGAGATCAAAGTTCTTTAATATTCTTAATCAAAGCTGATGTAGATGTATAAAGCATTATTAAGCTTGAGCTTGAATTGTCAACATGATATTCTAGGACCGATGCCTTTCATGGTTTTTAGACAAATCTTGGCAGAATTTGTTTCCTTAGAATGACACTTTTTTCCCTGTCTCCAGATCTATTATTAGCAGAAGATTTTTCTGTATAGTTGGCACACTATACCTATATCGGTGTATTACGATATATGTAACTACACTGCCAGTACCCGGTATGCATTTCAACTGCTCTCCAAAGGTAAGTTTTTCTCACTGCAATTCCATTTTGTAGCTTCTGTTCTTTTTCTTTTTTCCACACGCCAGAGATCCTTAATAACTGTGAACAGCCTTCTTGATCGTAACTCATATAAGTTGGAATGGCAGGGACTTTTTTTCCACAGATCGTCGATGCTGCGAATTTGTCAACTCGAGTGCTAGCTGTCGAACAATGCAAAGCACTCCCTTCTCAGGCCTAATGTGCTGTGTTTGTATCGATTTTTAACTATTTTGACTTTTTTTTTGTTTTGTTTTGTTTACTGAGATAGTGGAATCTATACATCCTATAATGAAATGCAGTTACTGACGTAAAGGTGCCATATACCACTGTAGCTTATTTCTAGAGCTGAGCAAAATTTGAAATTTCCATCTCATGGGAAATTCCAATATTTCAGCATTTATGTTTTCATCCTGAACTGAAAAGTTAACATTTGAAAAATTTTCATGGAATTAAATATTCCAAAAAACTTCTTTTCAGAAATATTAAAATGTTTTCTGCTTTTTCAATTGAAACAAAATCTTTCATCATTCCTGAAATCACAATGTTTCATTTCAGTTGGTTGAACTCAGGTAGGATGCTTCATTGCAAGTTAGTTTGACATTAAACTGTATTTCCCCATTGTGGCACATTGCCACATATAATCATAGAAGATTAGGGTTGGAAGAGACCTTAGGAGGTCATCTAGTCCAACTCCCTGCTCAAAGCAGAACCAATCCCAACTAAATCATCCCAGCCAGGTCTCTGTCAAGCTGGGCCTTAAAAACCTCTAAGGATGGAGATTCCACCACCTCCCTAAGTAACCCATTCCAGTGCTTCACTACCCTCCTAGTGAAATAGTCTTTCCTAATATCCAGCCTAGACCTCCCCCACTGCAACTTGAGACCATTGCTTCTTGTTCTGTCATCTGCCACCACTGAGAACAGCCTAGCTCCTTCCTCTTTGGAACCCCCCTTCAGGTAGTTGAAGGCAGCTATGAAATCCCCTTCACTTTTCTCTTCTGCAGACTAAATATGCCAAGTTCCCTCAGCCTCTCCTCGTAAGTCATGTGCCCCAGCCCCCTAATCATTTTCATTGCCCTCAGCTGGACTCTCCAATTTGTCCACATCCTTTCTGTAGCGGGGGGCCCAAAACTGGACGCAGTACTCCAGATGTGGCTTCACCAGTGCCGAATAGAGGAGAATAATCACTTTTCTCGATCTGCTGGCAGTGCTCCTACTAATGCAGCCCAACATGTCATTAGCCTTCTTGGCAACAAGGGCATACTCGTATACAGCCTCTCGTCCACTGTAATCCCCAGGTCCTTTTCTGCAGAACTGCCGCTTAGCCAGTCAGTCCTGAGCCTGTAGCAGTGCATGGGATTCTTCCGTCCTAAGTGCAGGACTCTGCACTTGTCCTTGTTGAACCTCATCAGATTTCTTTTAGCCCAATCCTCCAATTTGTCTAGGTCACTCTGGACCCTATCTCTACCTTCCAGCATATCTACCTCTCCCCCAGCTTAGTGTCATCCGCGAACTTGCTGAGGGTGCAATCCATCCCATCATCCAGATCATAAATGAAGATGTTGAACAAAACCAGCTCCAGGACCGACCCCTGGGGAACTCTGCTTGATACCGGCTGCCAACTAGACATCAAGCCGTTGATCACAACCCGTTGAGCCCGACGATCTAGCCAGCTTTCTATCCACCTTGTAGTCCATTTGTCCAATCCATACTACTTTAACTTGCTTGCAAGAGTACTATGTACATAAGTCTTATGGGGGGAGGGATAGCTCAGTGGTTTGAGCATTGGCCTGCTAAACCCAGGGTGTGACTTCAATCCTTGAGGGGGCCACTTAGGGATCTGGGGCAAAATCAGTATTTGGTCCTGCTAGTGAAGGCAGGGGGCTGGACTCAATGACCTTTCCGGGTCCCTTCCAGTTCTATGTGATAGGTATATTTTTATTTACTGTGCGAGACCGTATCAAAAGCTTTGCTAAAGTCAAGATATATCACGTCCACTGCTTTCCCCATATCCGCAGAGCCAGTTAACTCAACATAGAAGGCAGTCAGGTTGGTCAGGCATGACTTGCCCTTGGTGAATCCATGTTGACTGTTCCTGATCATCTTCCTCTCCTCAAAGTGCTTCAAAATGGATTCCTTGAGGACCTGCTCCATGATTTTTTTCCAGGGACTGAGGTGAGACTGACCAGTGTGTTCCCTGGATTATCCTTTTTCAAAGATGGGCACAATATTTGCCTTTTTCTAATCATCCAGGACCTCCCCCGATCACCATGAGTTTTCAAAGAAAATGGCCAATGGCTCTGCAATCACATCAGCCAACTCCCTCAGCACCCTCGGGTGCATTAGATCCGCCCCTATGGACTTGTTCATGTCCAGATTTTCTAAATGGTCCTTAACCTGTTCTTTCACCACTGGTGAACATGGAAGTTGTATTTTGGGAGCCTGTTGGGCTCTATTCTCCCCAGGGACCAGGCTTCACACCTGGACTATATCTGTGATTCATGCAGAGTCACACGATTCCCCTACAGTTTCATCAAAGGAGAGTCCAGATGGCATTGTGGGATTTGTAGTCCTCCAGAGAGCCTGACATGTAGGTCCCATGAGGGAATGCACTAGTAGGGAAGGCAGTTTAATGTTTTGTTGAATTTATTTGAAACAAAGCATTTCAGATTAAGCAAAGTGAAATATTCTGATTTGTATCGAACTGACCCAAAGAAATATCTTGTTTCCATTTTTCTAATAGAAAATCAAAGGTGGGTCCTGGAAAAACAGAAATTTTCCAATAAAAAAAATTGATTTTGTGGACAATATATTTTCCATTTTAATGGTTTTCTTATGGCAAATTCCCACCAAGCTCTACTTACTTCCCCAAATTTACAACACTTAGCTATCCTAGTATAAGCACCTTTATATGGGTATCATTGGATCTGTACTGGGGGCATTATACTGTACCAGTTTGAAACCAATATAATTTAAGTGATACAAAAACTGTAGACAAGCCGTAGTGCTCGCTCACTCTTTCCACAGCATTCCTATCCCTAGCCAGCCTAGATGTTAATTATGGTAATTATTAAGCTTGAGAGAAATAATCTAATCAGCCTATTTGAAACCTCCCCCGTAGAAGTTCTCTACGGCTTCGTCCACATTTTTCTGTATTGGTGAAACTCCACTTACAGAGCAGAATTAGTTGGCAGGGCATCTTAAAAATCCAACACCCCTTAACCTAGTTTACACTAGTATTGTCACTGTTCTTTTATGGGTGGAACTGCACTGGTGTTCTTAAAGCAGACAAACCCAAAATGTTTGGTTTCCAAGAGAAAATGTTCCAACGAGTGTGCTGACCAGTGTTGGAAATTAGCACTGCTTATATGGTGACAGTGTAGTCTTTGCCAAATCCTATGTAGCTGCTTGGAGACATATGTCTTTGTAAATGGAGGAATGGGTAGGGACATGAGAAGGGGAAATCAGCAACATGTGTGATCAGTCAGTTAAACAGCGAGCCACTATAAGTACAAAAAGAAACCAGATATTATAATTCCAAACTGAGTAAATTTGCCATTTCTGAAAAGGAACATTCTTTATTTCAACAGAAACAGGTTTGCCAATGTTTTAAGTGACCTTTATAACAAGGACTAACGAGCTTTGTACTCCATTACTGCAGAGTTTTGATATGTTCTTTGATCTTTCTACAGGACTTCCTTGTAAAATATAGAACATTTTCAATCCCGAAAATCCCTTGTCATCTCCTTATCTGAGTCAGACATAATTTGAAAGAAATGATTCGGTGTTTGGGAGCATTCTAGGCTTTTATGGTTAATACAGGAAGTGTTTATAATCACCATGAAAGATACTAAATAGATCCTTAACATTTGAACTGTCTCAAAAGTATAATTCATGCCTTCAGTTGAGTTTTTAAAACAAGAATAAGCTCTAAAATAAAGGAATATTAGTCTTCAGAAGACAAATGTATTCAGTAGTTACTGATTTTAGTAGTACATGTTTTGCTCTAATTATTAAATGGTTACCATGGTTACTTTAGGCTGTGAACCTCTTTAAAATTAGATTAAGATACAGCATGAAGAATTATCTGGTTACTACACTAATCCATTAGTTCCTAACTGGTTAATATACTAAGCCGTTAGATCCTATCCTTCCAGGTAGTTTGTAGGCATGCAATACAATCTTTTCTTTCAGTGACTAATGTGCCCCTGTTATGCTTGCAACAGAGTGTAAAAAAATTCCATTACTACTATTAGTGGCCTCTTTTGAATGAATGCAAATATCTGATCAGAGTCACTCTAGCAGGTGTGAGCAGCCCAAACAGTATCTTACAAACACTCCATAAAATAGTTAATGATCTTCTGGAAGGAGCAAAAACCTTTGTTTGGAGGGGGAGTAGAATCTTCACAAATATATTTGCCATCTGGTGCATTCCGAAGGCAAAATAAAAAAAATTCTCCAGAAGTATCTTTGAGCTTAAATCATCCATTGCATAGATAGTTTAAACATCAAGAGGAAGAGAGAGAAACCCAGTCAGATATGTGGAAATCCACCTGGCCCTTCCACCTACTGTTTGAATTGAAGTAAATTAATGTGTGTGCGCGCTGTGGGCTACACTAGTTGAATTTGTTTCAAAATAAAAAGTGGAAACTAATGTTCTGAGGCCTCTTAGATTTTACAGTCAAACTGCTTGTGGTTTGCTGGCAGTGAAAGGGAAGCAAAGTCCCAGGACAAATGTGAGATATGGATACTCCAATGCATGCATGTGTTCCAGGGAGCATAGGTGGACAGAGGTCAACAGTAGGAATCATACAGAGAGGAAGGGGCTAACTGTAAAAGATGGCCACGGGTCATCCTTGTCCTTCTCATTGATAATCCCTTGTGCTTGGGGTGGAAGACAGGGTTTCCACTCCAGTGAGCTAGCAAGCCTCTGAAGAACCAGAGGTCAGAGAAGCCTGTACACTGTTTCTTGCTTCAGACTGGGGGCAGGGAGGCACTGCAATGCTGAACCTTAACTCCAAACGTATACTTCCCACATGAAAGAAGAACACGTCATACGCTTTCCCATTTATGTCTGCTATAAATATAAATTATAGTGTTGCTGAAAAAGGTTAAGCTTTTAATTATAGTGTGAGTTGGATGAATTTGGGGAGTCTCTTGTGTGTCTGTATCCTTCGGAGAGGTGTGGAGTATGTTTAATGTTGTGACTGGATGTTAAAGTATTATAAACAAGTTTTCCAGAACTTGTAAGTTCTTTTGTTTTATGCATTTGTGTGGATATGTTTTACCCTTAGCAGTTTTAGCTGGTTTTTAATAAGCTTTTGTTTGTGGAAACAGTCTGAATGTGTCTAGTTTGTGGTAATACTTCGTAATCATCTTTCTATTTAATAAAATGTTTTTGAAAACAACACTTTGCCACTCTGACTTTTTTTAAGCTTCTTTCATGTCTTTCACATCACACTTTTCCTTCATATTGTAGTTATTAATGTTTGGCTTCTACCATTGTTCAGTTCTCATTACCTGTTTGTCCCTTGCTAACACTTTTCTCCCCCTCCACCTATTTCTCCTTCCTTGCATTCTATGTATTGTCTCCTCCGTTCCTTCAGTTATTATCTTTCCATTTCTTACTCTTCTTCTCTCCAGTAATCTCACTTCTTCCCAATCACCCTCTTTCTTCTTTTTTCTAATCAGTCTCCCCAGCCTCTCCACATAGTCACCTTACGCATCCTATTCATCCCAATGCATCTGAACACTTGTGATAGAATTTTGCTCCAGCCATAGACCACTAGGTAAATTGCTTTTTCCCTGTCCCTGTCCTTGCTGCAGAGGGGGTTACTGGAAAAAATGGGTTTTTCAGTCACTCTTCAGCGGAGAATAATGAACACAGGTTTTATCTTCCTTTTTTGGGGAGATGGGAGGGTATAGATAGTTCGCAGATTGACTTTCCCCAGGAGACAGCTAAGGCACCAGCCTTCAGTTTTTTCTGCATTGGTGGGAATAGTGACCAGCAGCTAATAAGTGATGGTGTTTCCTGGTCTTCTGTGTGAGATCTGCTCTACCTTCTTGAATACTCATCAGCCTGCAGGGCCGCCCAGAGGATTCAGGGGGCCTGGGGTCTTTGGCGGCAATTCGGCGGCGGGTTCCAGGGTGGAAGGACCCCCTGCCGTGGGTCTTCAGGGCACTTCGGCGGCGGGTCCTGGGGCAGAAGGACCCCCCTGCCGCGGGTCTTCAGGGCACTTCGGCGGCGGGTCCTGGAGCGGAAGGACCCCCGCTGCCGAACTGCTGCCGAAGACCCGGAGCGAGTTTTCCGGGGGCCCCGGAGCAAGTGAAGGACCCCGCTCCAGGGGTCCTGAAAAACTCTCGTGGGGGCCCCTGCGGGGCCCGGGGCCTGGGGCAAATTGCCCCACTTGCCCCCCCTCTGGGCGGCCCTGTCAGCCTGGTAAAGGAGGCACAGAATTGTATTAAATCTGAGCCTAAATCTGGCTCCACAGCCAGAGGGAAATGGCCAGCCCACACAGTGAGTGAATGCGCGGTTGTCTAGCACTCACTGAACATACGACCAATGTCCTATGTTCCTTGCTGATGTTTGAGCCAACTTGTGGAAATGATTCAACAGAACTGGAAACGCTGTACATAATTTATGGAGGCATTTCCAACACTGGATCCACTGGGTGGTAGCCATATGAGGGGTGGGTAATAATAGGGGAATATGGTTAACCAGAACTATAAAGCTTTACAGCCCTTCTTTATGCAGAAACCATTGTATCAAATTTCAGGTGTTATCAGACCACATTGAATGTTAAGGTGATATTTACTGTTTGATCAAGCTCATTAAATTGGACAATTCGACCAATTTACTATTGGACTAATTTCTGTAGGAACAGCATTGTTACTAATTCATCTTAATTGTTTACAATTTATCATTATCAAATTAAAAGGAAAATGGGGGGTTACCAGATTTAATGAAAACACCTAAAAATTGCAGTCTGTAGCTGGAATAATTTGATTTCTGTTTAACGTACTTATTTTTGGTGGAGGTGTTGGGCTTCAGAATATTTGTTAGATGAGATTTTTCAAAGAGAAGAGACATTGGTATGTAAAGTACATTTTTGCAATCTCTGTCATTCAGTGTATAGGATTTTATGGTGCTACAGATGTTCCTGCTGCTTGATTTGCTTAGTGTGTTATCTTGTCATCCCAGAAAACTATTCCATGTTTTTATAGCTATTGTGTTTATATTCCATTGCTGTTAGGTGTTTGAATTTTTATTGTGAGTTTTGCTTTGCATTGGTCCATTATTCATTGGAAGAAGTAAGTAAGTTGCATGATAGCTCATGTAGTAACATAACCTGTTCCTTTTTTCTCTCCACAAACACATCTGTTTGCCAATAGAAACCAGCGTAGCTCCAAAAAACCCTGTATTCTAGGAACTGGATTTAGGCAAGACTATATACATTTGATTAATCTGTCAGTCTCAGTTCTGTATTTTGACTGCCTGACCTTAGCTTCTGGGTTTTGTCTCATTCTTAGAAAAAAAGCTAAGTTTGGAAGACCTTTTACTATTGCTGTACAAATAATTTGCCTGGTTGACTTAATTCCTTTGCCATTCATCTGTGAGAAAGAGTGACCACTTCACTATTTTCTGGAGATGTAACTGTAAAGGAGATAGAAAAGCTGTTTTGCTAGGAGTTGTTTTCCTGCTTTCCCAGGATTCCACAATATATTTACGGGGCTTACAAAGCATTCTAGCTATAGTTGTGTAGCTCCCATTGAGAAAATTAAACAATTACCTGAATTTAAAGCGCCAACTAGAATCATTTTTCTTTACAGTAGTGAACAATATTGAACGTTGCCAGCAAAACATCTGCAGAAGAATGTCTTAAATGGCAGCACTTATAAATATTTATGAATACCAGGGAAAATGATTTCATCTTACCTATTTTAGTGTTACCATAACTGATAGCACTCTAAAATCATGGCATATTAATTGCTAGATGTAATGGCAGTACCTATGGAGTTATTGCTTTGATCCAGAATAACACCTAAAAGATATGTCATGTTGATTATTTTAATTGAAAGTGAATGAGTTAAGGGCTGGCTATTTGTTAGTTTCCTTTTCTCCCCAAATCGTTAGCTATTTGTAGAGAAAGGGAAAGTCCCTGACAGTTTGTTTTCTTAGGGAAGTCTTCATAATTTTATATTTTCTAAGATAGGAAACCAAAATCTATTTAATTAGAGTAACACTCCATGCATTTTCATCCCAGTAGTGTTTTCTGCATGTTGTAATCACAAAACAATTCCTTTGTTTTTTCACCATTTTTATGTATTGTAGTCTTAAAGTCTCATTGTTATGCCCCAAAGATATTTGGCAGTAGTCTTTGGAACCAATTGGGTTTTTTTCTAATTAAATATCTCGTCTAAAGTTACCAAGATAAAGGGTCTGATCACATAAATTAGTAAGCATCCTCAAGTCCTATTAGGATCAATGGGAGTCAGGCTTGTTCAGCATTGTATTGGAGATGCTTGACCCCTTGTAGGATAATACCCTCTCTCATAATCTGTTTTAACCTTTCATATATTTAATGCAGTATGAAATAACCTTGGTTAAATGTGTTCTTCTCTTCTTCCACCAGCTCTTTGGAGATTGGGAGTCTCATCTGAGGAGGATAATGAAATTGCTTGCTGGAGGGGGGTTATCTATCACAGGATCCCACAACATGTGTGGTGACTATCTCTACAGCGGCCACACAGTCATGTTAACACTTACATATTTATTTATCAAAGAGTGTAAGTTCATTACAATGTTCATGGAATTTAATTTTGTATATAATTAATGATTAAAGAATGTTCACTGTCTCGATCCATTAAATAATTAGAGTGAAAAACCCAGCTTGTTCAAGTCTATTCAGTAATATAAGCCAATAATATATGCTTTATTGAATATGAAAACAGGTGAAAATGGAATAAAACACTACTGTATGATTTATACTTGGATTATTCATTCTTATTAAAGTATATTTTGAGTAAACATGATATAAAACATACTTCACACTCACTGAATATAGTGCTTTTGATCCAAGTATTTCAATAGTTTAAAAACACAAGTCTCACAATACCTCAGTTTAGTAGGTAAATATTAGCATACGTGTTTTGCAGAATGGGAAATGTGCACAAAAAAACCAAAGTGACTTTCCCAAAGATACTGGAAGTTGTGTGCATACAACTGAAGGGATGATCAGGCCCAAAAGTGTACATACGTATGTGTACACACACACACGCACACACGCAAAATGGCAGGGAAGAGGATATAGGAAAAAAATAATTACAATAGCCATGTAGTCAAGTATCAGAGGGGTAGCTGTGTTAGTCTGGATCTGTAAAAGGCGACAAACAGTCCTGTGGCACCTTATAGACTAACAGACATATTGGAGCATAAGCTTTCATGGGTGAATACCCACTTTGTCAGACACATGTAGTGGAAATTTCCAGAGGCAGGTATAAATATGCAGGCAAGAATCAGTCTAGAGATAACGAGGTTAGTTCAGTCAGGGAGGATGAGGCCCTCTTCTAGCAGTTGAGGTGTGAACACCAAGGGAGGAGAAACTGCTTTTGTAGTTGGCTAGCCATTCACAGTCTTTGTTCAATCCTGAGCTGGTGGTGCCAAATTTGCAAATGAACTGAAGCTCAGCAGTTTCTCTTTGAAGTCTGGTCCTGAAATTTTTTTGCTGCAGGATGGCTATCTTTAAATCTGCTATTGTGTGTAGGGAGGTTGAAGTGCTTTTGTATCTGTAGGTGAACACTTCAACCTCCCTGGACACACAATAGCAGATTTAAAGGTATAATTATAGCATGTATAATTACCATCTCAAAGTACTTTATAAGATTATAGATACTTCTGCTTTTATAGACTAAGATAAACTAGCCAAATAGTCATAGGTGTAATTTTTTGAGGAATCAATTAGCCTTTCCTTTTTTTAGTATCTGACTGTTGTCAGTTGGCATGCGTGTTACTCTCTCCGTATGCTATCCCAACCCTGCAAAGAGAGTTGGTTCAGCAGACCTTGATAGTACTAACCAGAAAGAAAGACCACATGCACTGTTCAGTGACGAAGTTACTCGGCCAGGTTTATTGCTCTCAAGGCACAGAACTAGTGTCTTGGCTCTGTGGTTACAAGTACGCAAACACGAGTGCCCAGTGGGAAGGAGTGGCAGTCAGTAGCCAGAGTCTGCTGTCCCCTAGGCCACATAAAGTGTTAAGGCAAAGTACCCTGACATTTGTAGACTAACAACATATGTGCCACCTTATGTGTTTCATGACATCTGCGTGTTACCTCCCCTTGTATCTTGCTCCAGGCATCTCGGCAAAACATCCCTATTTATCACTTTTGTCAAACCCTCTTATCTGGTGTCAGGATGTCCCTGAGCTAATTTTTTAGAGTGTGTCTACACACAAACCCAGTATCTGTTGCTTCTCAGGAGCCTGTTTTAGCAACACTAGCAATACTTTTGCTAAGGTCATGTATCAGACAGTAAACTTGTAGCATGTGCTGTAATACATGGCTTGACTTTGGTTCATGACATGCCTTAACTTTGATGACTGTGATTCAGGCATCAGATCTTACACTAGGCCCAGTGCTCCAGGCTCTCTCTCTCTCCCCCCCACCTATGAATACATTTAAAAAAAATATTCTGTTTACTTTTCAAATTGAGAAGTAAACATTAATTATTTTATTTTGCAGTCAGATCATTCCTGTCCTAAACCTTGGGGTAATGTAATGACAGCTATTACAATAAGTCTTATTGTGCAGTTCACGTGCACTGTTGTTGTTGTTGTCAACAGTCTCCTGTTTCTAATTATAAATTACTGGCTTCCAGAGTAATAAAATAGTGTTTTAAGTAATGTTATCAACACTTTATGTGATTAAATGGTGATTATTTTTCTTGCTTTCAGATTCACCTCGGCGACTTTGGTGGTATCATTGGATTTGTTGGGCTCTTAGCATAGTTGGGATGTTCTGTATTCTCTTGGCGCATGACCACTACACTGTGGATGTGGTGGTGGCTTACTACATCACTACAAGGCTTTTCTGGTGGTATCACACAATGGCCAATCAGCAAGTGAGTTTTCCCCCAAATATTTGTTTCTCCTTAGCTCTTCATCTCCTTCTTTAGAATGTCAATGAATGAATTATGATATGTTGTTTTGAGACACAGAAAGAAATAACTAACAGAAATGTGGGACGAAGCAGTGAGGGATGTGGAGTGTGTAGAGAAATTTGATTTTTTACAACTCTAATGCTCAAAAATCAGAAGACAGACCAAAATGATTTATTTTTGTTTTAAAATCTCATTATTTTAATGCTACTGTCATGTGTTTGAGGGTCTTGTAGAGTTAAACTGATAGCAATACTGACTGACTTATTTTTAATATAGTCTGCCAAGGCTCAGTAATGTAGAGTCCTGGTTTAAATGGAAAATCCATTGACTGACTTCAGACTTGGGCAAAAATTCAGTGTCTATTTTTACTCAAAACTATTTGCTGATCCTCATAAAATCTAAGATAGGAATGGAGTCTCTTTTGATCTGAGATAATAGGTCAGTGTAAAAGTATTATATGTGGAAAATTGAAAATCCTGATTATATATCCTTTAACACAGTCTCTCCTTATATGCCTGCTATGGCTCCAGTTCACAATAGCACTTGAGCACATGCTTATTCAGGGCCTACATGCAGTGCTGAAGTATGAATGTTCTGCGAATCATCAATGTTCCATCATTTCTAGTATATACCCAAAGCTTCTAACTAGGGGGAATTATATATATAATTGTTGGAAAAGAAAGCTGCTAGATCTTGGTTTAGGACATGCAAAGATGGCAATATATGGTCTTGATAATTAATGCCAGCAGCAAAATTGTTTTTAAGTTGATAATATAAAAAGTAATGCAAGCTTAAGGCATTACAATACTTTTTAGATTGTAATACAAACCTAGTACTGATAGGTTTACTGCTCCCAGAAAAATGAATCAATGCGTTTTGCAACTGTAAACTAGTGAAGTGAAACCTAACTTAAAGCACAGTGGTGGAAATTACACCACAAAAGTCTTGTTATGGGAAATGCTGTACTTTGTTGCACAGAAAAACATTGGTTGTCCTGTCATCCAATTTTCACAGTGATGATATATCTGCATATATTGGTTCTGGGAATCATTTAGTATGCTTGGGAATAGAGACTAAAGGTAATCCATTAAATCTTGTGTGTGACGATTCCAGCTGGCATGGCCCTGGCAGGATGGTTCTTTTGTGATGGAAGACTTATATAGTAGCGATGGTTGTGGATTATTGAGTTTACATTCAACTGAGGAATATATCATTCTCTAAATGTCCTTTTCACTTTGTCTTGGGTGTCCTTACTTGGCATCCAGCTGCAGCAACTGATACTTCATTAGCCATTTCAGGGTGATTGAATAGCAGTGCTGTACAGTTTGGGAATATGGAAGCCCAGGATTGACTTCAGAGGACTTGGGTCCTTCAGTCCTTTTCATGAAGAGTAGAAGAACACTAGATAGGAAGAGATCATCTTTATGGTGTAGACCAGGTGTGTGATATTAGTTCTGTAGTCTTGTCAGGAATCTTATCCCAAAGGCACAAGACAAGGGGTCTACATTACAGTTCATGCTGTATAACACCAGGTAAGTTGGTAATATGATTATTGGCATCCATAATCATGGATTATACCTCTATTTTCACTGTATTACTGAGAGCTGGTTCAATTACAGTACAACATCATTATTTTCTCCTGTCTGGTTTGTGGTTCAGCGTTAGCCCATATGCAATTTGGAAATTGGCACAGCTGTGCTGGCTGTATCTGCTGTAGATGAAGGAGGTCTCCCATTTCTAACCTGGATTCACTGGAATGGGTCTATCTTGCCTATGAGCCTAGAGATAGAATGAAAATGAAATATTGTTATATGGGCCACTTGCTTATATTTCCTACTTTGGCTAATATGGTGCTTGCCCAGTTTGGCACTGGAATCACTATTTCATTGAACCCCCCAAACAGCATGGTTGCTGTGCTGCCTCAATGTCTGTCCAAAAATTGACCTGGTTGAACTATAGCTAGCTTAAGTTGACCCAAGACAAGAGTCAAGAGATGTTTGAGGATTAGGGAAAGCAAAAAAAGGTTATATCAGAGTTTGTTAGCCCCTTTAGCTGTATTGGGGTATGTCTTTCTTTTGTTACTGAAGACATATCTACACTGCCCCACAGTTCAGACTAAGGAGAGATGTGATTAGCAGCGCACACCAAAGTACTGCACTGTTAACTCCCCCATGTGGATGCCATAGTCACAAATGTAAAGGTCCCGAGTTCTCACTGATGCAACATTAGTGTGACCTCAGGACCTTTAATTTTGCTCCCACAGTTTCTACCAGGGGAGCACTACTACTGACACCACCCATTAGTCCAAACTGTGGGGCAGTGTAGACATGCCCTGAAGTTGGCAACCCTAGATTGTGTTGATTCCCAGATGATTCCAGAAGCCAAGTGTTTTTTTTGCCAGTTTGTGACTTTTTTCCCCTTCAGGTATGAATCTCTCCAGAGTCATTCATGCTTCAGTAACCTCCAGACTGGGTTACTGAAAAGCTAAGGGTTAACCACACAGAAACTTTATCTACTACATTGCTTGAACACCAAATTATTTACTGGTGTTTCACACAAGAAGCATGCCTGTGCTCCATAAAACTGGCTTGCTTTATACATGGTACTGTTACAGATGTTTCTTTTAATCTGGAAAGTTCTTTATAGTTTGGATCCTCCGGCTATCTATAAAAATTCTCTCACCTAGGACAACTCCTTGACAGTTGAGACTTGCTGTTCCTGTGGAACTAACAACCCCTAGAGGACAGAGAGTTCTCATAGGGCTCCCAAATCCGTAACTTGCTTACTCACTTGGTCAATGAAGCTGCAGTTTGACTGTTAGGACCTGTTCTGTTTGTTCAGACTTTCATGGGAGGAAGGAAGGAGAGTTTTTTGGGGGCAGTGGATAGGATGCACGTGAAAAATAATTATTTTTATCCAGCTGAAGTTTTGTCAATGTAGGTTGGTTTTGGTATGTGTTCATATTGTTAATGTAAATGTGCGTAGAGATAGGAGGCAGGTAATATGTAAATTGAAACAACAAATTTGTGGAGAATCGCAGACGATGGTGGCAAACAGCGTGCATTAAAGTAATGAGAGAAATTGCTGTGCTTGTTTGTAATTATTTTTTCTTAATTATCTTTGTGCAGGTGCTAAAAGAAGCTTCCCAAACTAACCTCCTTGCACGGGTGTGGTGGTACAGGCCCTTTCAGTACTTTGAAAAGAATGTTCAAGGAATTGTACCTCGCTCTTACCATTGGCCCTTCCCCTGGCCGGTGCTGCATCTCGGTAGACAAGCTAAATACAGCAGATTGGTGAATGACACATAACAGCTGTTAAAAGTGGGGGGGAAAGGAACTGTCCAAAGTGCTCAGAACTCCATGAGAGAAGATGCCATAAAAAAGTGAACTGCTCCCTAATCCTTTATCTTTTAACCATTTCCTTGACTTAACCAATTCAGTTACCTGGAAAGCACTGTGATCTTTTTTTCTCTCCAAAGGATCTGCGTTGGACAACAATAAAGAAAATTTACCTTATCATGCACTGTATACATTTCTTGTTAATAGATTTGGGATTTACATTACCCATCACCATGTTCCTTTGTATATGATGCGACAGCATAAACGAAAACTTTTATATCATATGTTCTGGTCTTTCCAGTCACATCTGGGAATAAAACGTATTATTTTCTTGGGAAAACATACTTTTCATATCTCTTGCCCCAAAGATTGGGCTGTAAGCCATTTTCTAGCAAATGTCTATATGAAGGTTTCTAAATACCTGACTGGGGAAAAATTAAAACTCTTTCTACCTGTTACACCAATGTTACAAATAAAATGATAAGACACAGAAAAGTTTAGTAACTTTTGATTTTGTAAAATCTGCAGTGACAGTGTCAAAAAGTGCAAAAAATAATATTCTGTTGTAAAGTGATTTTCTAAGTATTTCCTAACTTTATTTTTCAAAATATGTATGAAGACTAAATTTAAAAAGATTTTTACATGTCAGAGAAAAGAGAGTTAAAATAAAAAATGCTTCTTGGAAGAGAGAGATTTGTCTATGTTTCTAGTGCCTTTCTTGTCTTGATTGTATGGTCAGTAGGCAGTCTTAGATGTTCTTATTTAAAATAAAATATTCCATGAAAACACAAGTATATGTACCGTATACATTAATAAATTTTACATTTATAACTAAATTAAACTGGAAATTTACTTAGTGTTGAAATTGCTATTAGAAGGGAAAAACCAAATCAAAGGCTCAGATCTTGTTCACACATTGTGGGCAGATCATAGTAAAATGTAAGATTTAAATTGATTTTATTATCTACTCAGTAGCTGGATTTTAACTGTCAAGACAACAGCCATGGATTCACTTTTTCAGGAGTTTTACAGATGATCACTGACTTCAAATTGAATAGTTTCTCCATCCTTTAATGAAAATGTTGTTGAAAAACAACAAAAATAATCTATTTCTTTAAAATATATTTGTGCAGAAGCTGCATGTACCTCTAAGTTTCACTCCTACCATACATACTGTATGTTTGGGGAAGTATTCTATGATATCCTTGCCAATGTGCAGAACAAAATAGATTTTTAAGAATGAAGAAGATATCCATTCTGTATTTTATGTGAAGCAGAGTTATCTTCTATAGGGTTTTTGTGTATTCACAAGGTGATATTTGTATTGTAAAACAATAATGGTGAAGGAAAATAAAGAGACTTTTAAAAAATGTATTTTCTTTTATCTTTTCAATATGTCTTAAATTTAATGGTAGGTTTCCACTCCAGAGGCTTGTCTTTACTTTTCTGTGTTTTATTGAATGGACTCAGAATTGGACTTTATGGAAACAGCATTCATTTTTAGCCAGTGTTCACATTTTACAAGTCAGTGCATTAATGCTATGGAATAGTAGTAATATTTAAAGGTCTGATAGTAGGTCTGACAGACCTCCATGTGTTGTACAAGGATCAACCCTGATCCACAATGAGGAATTGCTTCAAGCTCCTAGGTGACATGACTGCTTGTACACACAGGACCCCTCATGACGGGCTGCACATCGGGGGATTCAGGCATGGCTCAAGTCAATCTACCACGTTGAGGTTCACCAGCTGGACAAGTTAGTATGCATCTCAGACAGGATATTGTCATCTCTGAATTGGTGCATG